CATAGACGATATAGAGTGGGGACGCCTGACAAGATGGATAGTGGTTTTTGATGATGATAATATATACATACCGTAAAACGAGCAAATCATATGACGAGTTTAGAAGGAGTCTGTGGAGTCTTACCACCCTAGTGATATGAAAAACACTAGTGGGAAATATAATCCACGACTACTGCATATCACCGCGAATATCGTCGTTTTTCACCGAGTACTACGCCACTTATGAGAAACTAAATGTTGAATATTACATTTAAGTAGTTAGTACAACGAAGTAAGTTTATTACTATCATTATTAATCACATAATAAGTATCCTATAAATGAGTTTCACCACCCTAGTGATATGAAGAACACCAGTGAAAAACATATTTCACGACTACTACAGGCCGCGAATATCGCGTTTTTCACCGAGTTTCACGCCGCTTCACGTAAAACGGGTAGTTGTGAAACTCCATTAATATCACGCAAAATCAACAACAACACAAAAAATACTCACATAGAGAACGACTCCAGGCTGCTGAACCCCACACCACGGTTGTCGATAAGGAGAAGTCTAAAGCCTATCGAAGAGAGAAAGGCGGTCTGAAAAATGCACTCGCCAGGGATCGAACCCGGGACCTCCTCCTCCTCACCTGAGGCGTCCACCACACATGTGGCATTGCTAATCCCATTATCAAGACTATGTTCCCTCGAGGATGTTCTCTATCAGGGTCAACCTTCCTATAGTAAATACGATGCCCATCTGGTCGGTTCACCCACGGCATTATAACAAGGGGTAAAACACTGGTGAAAAACGCATGTGAGAAGTGAATAACGCGTAAAACACGTGAAATGTGAAGTGAGGTAATTCGTCCGGTGCAAACGGCCGAGTATTTCCAATTCACTTCATATCGCGTTTTCCACATAGAGTGTAACGCCACTTCACGTAAAACAGGTGAAACTCCAATACAACGATGATCAACGCGATATAATATAAATCAGTTGAGTTCATCCTCACTATTTATTCTCGCAGTTTTACATCGTGTTTAATTCTGCGAACATCCCTACATCCAGTGCTCGAATTTTCACAACATGCCATATTCAGCAAGATAAAAAGGAACGCCACCGGTGCTACAAAACAGCCATTAATGGAGTTTCACAACCCGTTTTACGCGACGTGGCATAATACTCGATATTCGCGGTGATATGCAGTAGCCGTGAAATATATTTTCATTCACTACTGTTTTCATATCACTCCAACGACTGTGTTATAACAGTGACACGGACCGTATTGGTAATCGAATTTTGCCACATATACAACCACTATAGAGTCTACTTACACAGCCAACGTTGCTCATTCCAAGAGTGAAAATAGCAAAAAAACACAATATGAAAAAGTAGGAAGGAACAACATCGTAATCATAGGTCATCAACCAAATGTCGTATAATGCATGTATATAGGCCCAGGGGAAAGGCTGCCAACATCAGTCTTGATAGCATACCGTCCGGAAGATACTCGCGGGTCGTTTAGGAACCTACAATGACGACGAGTGAGATGCAACTGAACGGTGCATGGATGGCAAAAGGAATTGATGCTCCCCTGTGGCTATTTTAGTAGAGTTTCACAACTACCCGTTTTACGTGAAGTGGCGTCGTAAAACTCGGTGAAAAACGCGATATTCGCGGCCTGTAGTAGTCGTAAAATATGTCTTTCACTGGTGTTTTTCATATCAATAGGGTGGTGAAATTCCAATATCCCTTCTATTGGTTACATTAATTCCACTTGTTTTGTGTTGTAGCGATTAATGAACTAGAAAGCTTCAAGGAGAGAAGGAAGAACTGCAGCATTCGCATAGAAGATTTTCTCTACCATTCAGATCAACTATCATCCCTTCGCTCCGCTTAATTTTAAACAAAAAAACAAAAAGTCAAAAAATTAAAAAATAGGAAAATAAAAAATCAATAAATAAATAAGTCAATAAATTGATGAATCAAACAAACAGAAAAACAATAAATTAATTATTTTTTCTACTCTCATACCACTCCTTCCCCACAAATTGTTACAACGCCCCCTCCCCCCCCCCCTCACCTCCTCGTTCGCGGTATGCTGAACTTAGCACTGGAAGGGGCCTTGGTAAGATCAACCACATTAGCATTAGTGCCACTACCTGACCAGTGTACTCGCCCTATATCAACAAATGACTAACCTAATGAGTCTCGCCATTGAAACCTCGTCTGTGGACCGAAGGCCTCATCCCTGCTGGTCGGAAAACTTGGGAAATATTCTGCTGGTGAAGGCACTGCCCTATTGCGGTATCGTAGACTCGCATTCTAACATGAGATCGCCGTAAAGAAAATCCTGATAAAAGCTTACCTCCGCATCAGTGGTCTCCAATAGAAACCGATCAGCTCGTCCAAAAGAGTAACTAGCACTTCTATTGATAGTAGGATGGATCCTCATACGAACTCGTGTAGTTCCAATGGTCGTATCTGAGAAATTCTTTCCATAAACATTCACCCTCGATCGACTTTCTTGGAGCTATATTTGTAAACAACGCAGTAAAGAGCTGTATTATGTTTACCGTCTGTCGTCGCCTCTCCCACATTTTCTGATAATTTCAATGAATTGATTAATAATGGAGTTTCACCACCCTAGCGATATGAAAAACACCAGTGAGAAATATATTTCACGACTACTGCATATTATCGCGAATAAACGTAAAACGGGTCGTGAAACTCCCATATTTTCAACTAATACTGCATGCGATATGTTACAATCAATGACAAGTAACCACCACGGCACACATTCTTTCTAATCTCACCTGGCCGGCGTCTCCAATAGTGCGTGCTCCCCAGCATACAGCTGCCAACGCCTCGTACACTAAACCGGAAATTCTCAACAGAGTAAGAGGACTTCTTATCGGCTTACTCCGCTGGCAACGTTTTGTCTAGTAAATGTTGTCTTGTGCGCTCCACTGAAGATTCTCTTGCGGCTCGATGCGACGGCACACCCCCCTTCAGCCGAACTGCCTGAATGATAAAGTGATGTATAGGATCACAAATCGATCTCACATTGTGTTGTCGTCGTTCGAGAGCCTGTCCAGTGATACTCCTACGAGCCTCCTCCACCACACCTTGCACACTAGAAGGGATGCCTATGGTAGACTTTGCACCTGAGCGAGTACGATGACAACCAGACACGATCCGTATAGGGATGGACGGAAGAGGAAAATAAAAAAGAATAAAAAGGCAGCGACAGGGAAAGAGATGAGTATTCTCTACACTAGCGACGACACACTTCGTATGTGGACTGATGTCAATACCTAGACGGTGCACGAGGAGAAGATGTCATAACTAAAACTGGATAATATATCAATGGTAAGGACGACGAGCGAAGAAGTGCCATCGGCCACTTCGACTTCTGTTTTAGCTTAGAACTAACATTTTCTCAGCTGTGTGGTCCGACGGTAGAAACCATTAAATCGAACCATAAAGTCACACAGCAACAAAGCAGGAATATTTTCGAATATTCTCGGGAGCGTGTGAAAGAGGTTCCGCTTCCACTTGCCGTAAACATCGCCAACGATACTCACCAGTGTGCAAAATACTCACCAACATATGCTGATGCCAATATAAAATTCCTGTGGAAATTTTGGGAATTTCTTGTTGGTTTTCCAATATTTATGCCCAAAATCGTGCGCAAACTCCTAAAATGAGTAGGTAAACTGCTGAGCTGAGCTGAGGAAAGCGAACATATATTCATACTTATACTCACCACATTTGATCTTCTTATCATCATCGCCTTGTATCCATCCTGTTGTAGCCTTGATAGTCGTAGCCTGATAACCGCTGGCGTTACCCTTACCATGGTTCCATGGGAAAATCGTCATACTAGGAAGCAACACTTCCCACTATTGTGCCACGCAACAACTGCGGTTTTGACACCAACACTGAGCAAGTGAAGACATGACACCAAGATGAACATCAGATGCTCTCAAGCCTAGCACTTTTCCTTGGACAGAGTCAGGCGACCCTTCCTCGTGTGAGCCGTGATCTCATCGTTAACGTGGTCCAAATATTTGATCTCCATCGCGGGGAAAGGAGGATTGAGTTCGGCGAACACTCTCTGGAAATTAGGATCGTCGATATCAACTTGAATATAGGTCTCGTTAGTTCTGACCATTTTGTAGGGGAGTCCTTCAGCAGATCTTCTACGTAGAAAATACCTCGCTTTCAAGTCGAAAGTTTTTTCATGGAATACGAGAGTGATAGAGACTATAATAGGGACACCACCACAATATCTACCTCGGGGTCCAACACAGAGTACAATGCCAAGCCTACAAACCTGAATCGCGAAAAGCAGATGATGAATAAACATCATCGGCAAAAATAACAACACTGAGGAGATTGACGCTGAAACCGTCATATCCCCGAAATTTCAGGTCGATTTTCTTCGCATCACGTATCCCCAAGCCCTCCTGCTAAAGTAGAAGCATGCGAACTTATTTCCTCCCGCATAAACTACGTACTTTCCCATTGTGGCAAATACACGGGACGCTCAATAACAAATCTTACTCATTGATAAATCTTAGCATGCAACGTCCCCTTGATAGGAATAGTGATGAAATTGTAAGAGATAATACACGCTTTAGATTATGTATAATAATTGATATAAAGTCTTGACGACTACCGACTACGAACAGATAGCACTATGCGACTCTCATTGGGCGAGCTCAGCGAAGTATGATTTTAATAAAATTGACAGTGGTTGCTGCCACTACCAAAACTGTATTGGCAACAAGTTTCCTCCACAACAAGCGAATCACGAGTTGTACGTGGACTGGATTCACTCTATCTCAGGTGTGGTTGTTTTTATAACGTAGCTGGATCTTGATTTGATACGATTGTTCATTGCTGGCAGTGAACAGTCGGATTAACAGGGTTATAAACAGTCATATTTCAACCTAGTATACCAAAACTACTTTCCTCCTCATCTTTACTCTATCGATTTTTTCTCTATCTAACTAACAACTCCCTGAGACATTCTACTAAGTAAAGGCGCGCAGCTCCCCTTCTCCCCGCCCGGCTAATGATCAACACCAACACTAAGTTATGTGAGAAATAGGAACGTCCACAGGAAGTCATCACGTTGAGTAAATAGCCTTAGTGCTGTTCTTCGTTTTGTTCATTCTCCTCATCATGGTCATCATCTTCCGGAGCTTCGTCAATGAATCGGTCTTCTTCTTGAGTGTTAAACCCACCACAATGTCCACACTTCATCCCTACTATATGAAAGGGTACTTTCTCAGTTATTGATCTGAAAATGTACGATGCCGGGATCGAACCAGAGACCTTCCCCATGGAAGTCCTTACTCGCAATCGTTGCAGTGTATCTTCACAAATGTTGTTCGATACTCTTTCGGCATTCTAACTCGGGCGATCTCCTGATCAATTGCATTCCATATAGGAGTCATGTCCTCCTGTGTCGACCTGTTACACAGCGGGCACCTGACCAACGCATGCGTGCTATCCATACCACAACTCCGCCACATCTACCCGCTCACCTCATCGCTTGAATGATTGTTGGAGCATTCCTCTGCAGCTCTCTCAGACATGTCGAATGAATACCATGGCCGCATCGAAGTACCACCGCCTGAGATCACAAGAAATTCTATTCGCCAGCTGAAAATGCTAGGCCGTCACGTCGACCCAGACGCAGTGGTGGCACTGCACTCGACCGTTTCGAACTGCAGTGCAATCACTGATTCTATCGGTCGAGGTAAGGCACGACTACTGAGTGCAACTGAATCAGTCGGCGAAACTGATCCCTCAGCATCCACCGCACAAGCGCTGCTGCAAAAACGCAAGACTATCAACTTTCGAGTCTAGGAGAAACAGGGCCCTCATGCTGAGCATTGACGCCGTTACGGCTTGTCATAATTATTCGTAGAATACGACCTATCATGTTCAGATGAGCAACCTCTCATAGAGGAGTTCAGACTATTAAGGTTTTTCTTCGATACTCCCGGGAATTTCGATCTCATGATGATCGTGCCAATATGATCCTTGAGTCTCTATCGGGCTCGGTCCCGTCTGTATCATATCAGCTTCCTCCGTAGGCGGTGAGGGCGGCGGCAGAGGCGGCAGGGGTTGAAGTTCGCCAGTTAACAAATCGAGATCAGTCCGACAGGGGGCTTCGGGCTCTGTCGCACAGCGGCTTTAGCTGTTGCTTGAATTAGATTGTCGGAGAGGACGTTTGAGAAGCACTGGTATGACATACCTTGTGAGAAAAGCGAAGAATGCTAGATTCATCTCATGTAGTGTCATTTGCACCCTCAAGTCATTTGCAGTGCAAATGATTTGCACCCTCAACGTAGTTCATGCTACAGAGTGGAATCTTTCGCGAGCCAAAAGCAAGAGCTCAGCTTAGGCAAGGTCTGCTTCGTCTCTCTCTCCTCTTTCCAAAACTAGACGATGATGCTACGCCGACAGTGTAGTTTACAGTTATCTATGAATAAGAGCACCGTTATTGCCAGCGTGTTCAATACGCCATCCTCAACGCGCCGTGTTGATGATGGATGATCCACAACAAGATCCATCATGGACTTCACTGTTGACAGTGTTAACTTAACACCAGTACCACGGTGGTACCACGACCACCTTTGTTACCTACTTCTTATCAACAATAGATCTCCCTTCACTCTCTTCATTATTATTGCTCAACCATTCCCTCTTTGATTAATTTGGTCACCCTTACTAACGACAGCTATCACGTAATCGTCAATGCCGAGGCATTACAAATGTTTTCTCGTTACACAGACTGTGAAACACAGTGGGCTTGAGATCGAGATTCGGTCTACTGATCTCGGATCAAACTCGTAATGAATCAGACGTAACAGGAAAGAAACTCGGACAGTCCTTCTGTACAAGTCAGAAAGAAAGTTCCTCGTAGGTTTTATATCACGTCTATGCACTCACTCCTAGTGAGCCGATTGAGAACTCACCGGTATAGTAGATTCAAATAGGCTGGCTTGACACACTGGGCACACATTCTTCATAGTCTCGGCCGATAGACAATGATGATTCTCGAACACTTCCGGGGGATAGCACGCTGCACATCTAACAACAACAATGATGATGATGATGACTCATCATTGATGAGACGAAAGCAACCCCAATATACCGTCGATTAGGGACAAAACGATCTATTTCCAATATCAGTACATGCGCACATGAAAAGAGATATTCACCATTCATTTTTCTCTATTCCATAACAACACGATCAATACCAAACACCGCATGCCCTCTCGAGAGTGAACTCACCCATAGCAATGCTTATAGTTATCTCGGCCGCCTACCCGGCAAATGCCACAACCATCACAATGGAAAGCTCCTGATGAATATTCGTTTTGAGCCCACCGCTACTATCGTCATGAACATACCTTTTTCCACTCCTTTATCATCCCAAAATCTACACTTCTCACAATAATATTCAGCAAATCGAATACCACACTCCTCGCAATTCCCAGCAGGCTTTTGTCGGTGAAAGCAACTCTGACATTCAATCTCTTCTATCTTCGTTCTATCCAACTCGTGCGCTTTCTTATAGTCTCGCTCGTTTGCCATTCTAAAATCGAAAATAACAATATCACATCGATAAATCAATTAATACCACTCCAATTCAACTTATCCCCACCATAGGTAAACCCTCAGAAATTCTACTACTCGATTTTTCCTCAAAAAAATCTCCAACAAAAATGAGAAAACCCAATTTTCACTCGAACACGCCAAATAGATGACCGGTTTTTTTCACCCACTTTACTATAAACGTCCTATACCTATCATCACTCGCCCTTTTCCTTACTTAGCCTCATTATGACAATGCCGACACCAAAACCACTCCCCACAGCAGGGCGCCAATATTTTACACCGTCGTCTGTAATGCTCGCACCCCTCATGATCACCAACGGGTTCATTCACTGCGAGATTATCGCTTTTAGACGGCTCATCTGATCATAATCGATCAACTGGGCGCGCGCTTCTGACCTACTATCCTCATTATCTGATTCCGCATCGCTAAATTCGCTCTCATTGCCGTCCTCTTCCACTTCATACCACTGAGAAAAAACTTTCCTATCGCAAAATTGCTCATCGATTTTTCCACCGTTTCAAAGTTCAAAATTTGGGAAAATTGATCCAAAAAAATTTAAAATTTCTTCGGATTTTTCCACGCGGAATTATTAAATACTTACATCGTCATCATCGTTATTATCAACAGCCTCGCCTCCTTCCCCCCTCCTTGCGTCCTCATCATTTCTCGCACGATTTCCCTCCGTCATTGTTATTATCACCTCAGCTATATACAAGCTTGTTACACTGAGTAAAACTACCACTACTATCGACAATAACGCTGTCGGCAAACTCCGTCGCGGCAATTTAGAAATGTATAAAAAACGTATCTTTCCTAGTGCGTATCTAAGGTTACCCTCACCAAGATACAGAGCACAAGATACCCCCAACTCAACGCACAGCGAAGATTCGCTCATCATCATAAACATGCCCATACCATTCATGGTGTTTTCCATATAGTCACGCCCATCTGCCCAATATAGAAGTAACAATAACAATTACTCTCATGGGTTACATAGGTTGCGAAGTTATGACCTGTGAAAAATATATATCCATTAATACACATGAACATACAACAAATAAACAACTCGTACAACGTAATCAATTCCCTCCGTAAATTCTAATACGATAACTACGTAAAAATTAAAAATTTAATTGACAATGGAAAAGTTGCACAAATATTTTCTCCACTTCAATATTCCTCACCAACGATAACATGCCAAGTTCCATGCCCGCCTTCCCCAGCATTGTTCGCCTCCATCTCGGCCTTCAGAAAATGCGCGATCTCCGATTGCTTCATGAAATGCTCCTGAATATTATCACTGGATATCTCCGGAAATCGGCTGTTTTTCAACGCGTGAATTATTCCGTCAATCGGAATAAATTACCCAGTTTTACTCGCGACAACAAATATCCTATCAATTACAAAGGTCAAGAACACTCTTGTATTTTGTGATCTGTCGCCTTTCCAAATTCAACTTTCAATCAACGACTTCACTTCTTCAAACTACATATCAAAATTTTTCATCTGAAATTTTTCTCTCCCGAACGATTTTCAACATTAAAAAACCTGAAAATCGTCCATCCTACCATAACTCGTGAAAAACATAACTTATGTTATATAAGCGGAATTAAATCAGATCATCGCTCCGACCTGTGCATAAACCGCCTTGGAAATCGCAAATTCGAGCACAGCCGGGTCCATCTCCTGCAGTTTCACCACGGGTTTCGCTGTAGGATTCGCCGACGAGCCAGACGCTTGAGGAGCGGTAGTAGCTGCTGAGACTGTCATTATCACTAAATACTGAATATAAGGAATATATGTAATCGCCTTCCTTAGCTGAGCTCAGGGGTTCCCACATTATATATGTTTATATATAATATGAAACACTTCGAAGTTTCATATTATAGAAGTTTATATACAAATTCAGAGAGAAGTATAAAGAAAGCAGTAAAATCTGATATATTGTGTTGATACATGCATTTCCTATTTCTAACAAAAAAACATTAAATGTTCGTCTACTTATACACCCGAAAAACGAGATATGAAGTGAATTGTCAACACCTCGTGAATTACAACGGACAGGCAAATCACCCCATACGTGTTTTACGCCCTATTCGCTGTTACATGCGTTTTCCGTGAAGTGAAATGTACCCACATAGTGTGAAACACATCACGTGTTTTACGCCCTATTCACTGCTTACATGCGTTTTCCGCGAAGTGAATTGTGAGATATGTTTCTCATATCACGAGTGAAACTCCATTAATATTCATAAATACAAAGCGTCCCAAGAAATAGGAGCCTTTTTAAAATAACAGCAAAATGCTATCTGATATATTACAAGGTCGTTTTCTGTCGAGCGTGAATTTTTCGTGAATGCCGACGAGTTTTCCAACAACTCTGACACCATCTGGAAGCCCTTCACAAGAGCTTTTGAATGCTAGGGGATATTCAACTAGCACAAACAGCTTTTTAGAAAAAAAACAAATTCTCCTTGGGACACCGTAATTTCAAACAATTTCAAATAAAGTATATAAAATCAAATAAAATAATATAGTATTTCAAATAAATATCCCCCGCAATAATTGACTTTCCCTTTGCCTCGTTCCTTGCCTTATAATTCTGAATTCTATCAAGCTGATAGAATTCAGGATTGTAAGGCTACATCAAATATCAACACCACTATGGTGTCCTCTCTTTTTATATATTAATACCAAAATAGTGTCGAAAAATTTTCCCCATCTCGAAAAACTTCCAAAATTTTACGATCCCTAATATTGACAGATATTTTTCATGTCAATTTATCATCGTAAGAAACCTTTGTTCCGCTATCCCGAGATAGTAATACCACACTTTCATCAAATTCCATGCTGGTGATACACACTACAACAATGCTTGGGCAGGCTCCCTCTGAAAAGACGCCATATCCAAGAGGATATATCGGAATAATTCACCCATAAACAGTACGTTCATATAACATAATACAAAAACTACAGTGAAGTAATTACTGATGGTGAATCTCGGTTTACCAATATCGCTCAATTTACTTTCCCTTCAATCGGATACAATCACGAAATTTGAGATAACTTCTCGAATAAAAATTGGAAAATTTCCCTAATTTATCAACAATCTGTATACACCTGGAATTGACGAATATTCAAGACTAACTGAAAACCAGCTGAATGCACAACACTCATTTATTAAACGATGTAATATGAGGCCGAATTGAAAACGATGATGATCGTGTTATCAAACAATGATCATCGTGTTAGTGATTTGCCCATTGAGATAACACTACACTGAATATACTAGCAGAGGAATGTCCCACAAGGCAACAACTTACTCGACCATATAGACTATCATCATCGTAAGCTCAGCTTAGGGATTCCTTAACCCGATAGTGGCACTTTGTGTGCTATTGGAATAGCGATAATGATGATGATGATGCAGTAAAGCCTTTCAGTCGGATGTACAACATACGTGACATGTCTCTTACTGAAAGAGATATTCATCACTTCACGAATCATCGTGAACTGGGATACATTCACCATGACAGGAAGAAGAAGAATCAATACAGGATGAGTACTCATGAAGATAAACAATTCCTCAATTTTATTCAAATTACTTCTTCGACGAAAACATGCTTATACGGATTTATATCACATAAATATAAATACTAAAGCTGTCTAATGTCTATATACCCCTGATAAGCAAGTGCTGGCCTCCTTGCACTGAGTGGGCCAACCCTATAAACAGCCAACGAACAACCATTTTTCGATTTGTCGCCTGGCCGAGCAAGAACGAGTCTATATACCTCTGATAAGAAAGTGCTGGTCTCCCTGATGCACTGAGTGGGCCAACCCTATAAACAGCCAACGAACAACCATTTTTCGATTTGTCGCCTGGCCGAGCAAGAACGAGTCTATATACCTCTGATAAGAAAGTGCTGGTCTCCCTGATGCACTGAGTGGGCCAACCCTATAAACAGCCAACGAACAACCATTTTTCGATTTGTCGCCTGGCCGAGCAAGAACGAGTCTATATACCTCCGATAAGAGAGTGCTGGTCTCCCTGCGCTGAGTAGGACAATCTTATGAACACTGTTTATTGAGAAGCCTACGTACTATCATCTGTTGGTTTGTAACCTGGGCGGCAGAGGAAGAGTCTATATACTTCCGATAAGAAACTAAGTAGTGTGCGGTAAGAAAATGGAGACTACAATGATTGTGAATACATATGGCGATCCTTGGTTCTGTGTTGTAGATCACAAAGTGTATTGACCTGGATCATCAGTGTGGCGGAAAAATATGCACATATATTGACAATAATATGAAAATTCTGGGAGGAAATTCTGGTTAAGTTTTGTATACTTCTACTATAAATTACTATAGTGACTATAGTACCGTCAGCTTTGGGAACTCCTGAGCTCAGGTGAGGGAACTAAAGGTATATTCCTCTAACACTGCTACACCGTCCACTAGAGAGTCATGCCAGATCTTCTATCGATTCCGATGGACTGCACGTAACTTTGAGTCAACGGAGAAGTTAGAAAAGGAGTGGTATGAGAAAATACAGCGAATAACGCATGCGAATTTTCAATATTATATTGAAAAGTAACATAGGCCAAACTCACGATATCGTCAATGCATGATGTAGATCGAACCCAACTCGTTTCGATCATCCCACACTAGCCTATTGTCTTCGGTAGCAGCTCATGTGGATGATTTGGTACAGTGGAATGAGTTGTTACACAACTCCCCGGGCGAGCGCGATGCCATCTCGCGGAGGTTCGATCCCTGGTGATGGCATTTTTCCATTTGAAATTTACTGCCTATTCCATTTCGGGCCATTTATTGACCTTTCGGGATGACACCGCGTACAGCCTCGAGGGGAGTCATCATTCAGGGGTGGATGCTTATAGCTAGCCGACAACAACCGCATGTATACTTTGGGAATTATGCTATGAATTTCGTGATATGAAATGTGTTTTTCATATCGCTAGTGAAACTCCATTAAGAGTGTTCGTTTGTATATATTTCATTCGGCATAGATTCGCAGTTGAGAATCCAAACTTTTAAGTCTGAGCAGAATGCCAGTGTTCGAGGTATCGGTCAGCAATACGTATCGTGTGTACATCTCATGTGTATGAAATTGTGACTATCACGTGTCCCTCAACGTGTCTGCTCAAGATGGTGATGAAACCTGTCTGATATGTACATGCGCTGGAAAATTCCGAGGGGGGGGTCCCTTTTTTTTCGATCTCCCTGTATATCAATTATTTATTTATTATTTAACTATCCACTATTTAACACCACTATTTAACTATCAAGACTTATAATATCATGACATAGCTGATCGAGAATATTACTATCGATCAGCTATGTCATCGTTGCTTGTCTTCTCACTCACCTTTCTCCACCAGTACAACTCTGTTGTGTTATCCAATCCCAACAGGTCTACCACCAACCCACGTTACTGCAAACTCAAGAGCCTGTTATATTTTCCAGAAAGCTGCGAACAGATCCATCAAAGCATGCAACGACTTGAATGACAACACTCGCCACATTATATTGGCAGGTTAAACATCATTTGCTTTGAATCTCTCACACCAGTGATAGTAGCAAATCCATCCCTCTGCGAGAACGCGACTGATGAGAATGTATATCTGTGAAACACATTATCAACAACAACAACTTCTTAAATTTGACTATTTAATAGTTGGCGAATTCTCTGCCGTGTCCCATACCGTCTATGATTTCATATCCCAGGGCTCAGCCAGTGACTGAGCCTGCAGCTATACCCCTATACTGGCTATCGCTCGCTTGTCAAAGGGATGCTCCTCAAGAAAAAGGAGATAGATTATCGTATAGTACTTATAACTACGATAATGTAGTTATAATTTTTACAGCAACATCATGTGCGCGCGTTCTTGATTAAATTATTCTCTCGAACTTAATCTTGAGAAATCTCTTAGAAACTTAATCGTATTTCTCAAAATAATCAATAATCTCAAATAGATCGAGTATAACATTAATCTGGTTGTTATTTTATTAAAACCCTGGGAAAAGATGTTAACAAAAAATACAAAAAGAAACATGCACCTGGAAATGCTGAAGATATTGGCTGCTGTCAACACTCTCACTTTTAATAATACTCACTGTTTATCCAATTTCCATTCCTTCACTTTATTCCCAGTACTAACATCCCATAGAAATAACCTCTCACACGCCAGAAGGACCATCAACCGTGGCGTATCAATCGACAACGACGCATCTGCCAGTCCCACTACTGGACACGGGTGCGTTATAGTATACCTAAAAAACCAATTTCTAAATTATTGAAGTTTCTCACATTCAACGTTATCTCGCCCTGTGGGGTGATGGACGGGAAAATTCCAACACGGCTAAAACTGATTCCTCCCGAGCTAATGCGATCGATGCGAGTCTAACTAAGCCCTGCTGTCGCAGTCGTTGGAGTTGAAACTCGCACACACACTCTTTAACGTGAATTAAAATACTCCATGTAAACTATAAGGCGTGTATGCTTCTGCGACCGATAAGACTCTTGTTTCTCGTAAATTTGACTGTCTACCATAACATACCAAAACAACTCACATTAATCTCTCAAACTCCACAGAATCGTAAACCAGTATTCGCTTGCTGTCCTCAGTCGCGATGAAGACGCGTTGACCGATGACAACAAGAGACGTTATGTCGCTTATTGGGGCCTCCCAAGCAGTCGTAGTATTCGATAAGGATAGTATCTTGGCTGTCTCCTTTTGCACAATATACAATTTGTCGTCATGGACGAACAACGTTTTTGTTTCATTCACCAGTTGATGAATCTGCAGTATATCATTAAGAACCGTTACTAGTGATAGAGGCTATACTAGTAGTTCTCTCATAAACTATCGATGTTTCACAAGCCGTTTCACGTGAAGTAGCGTAATACTCTGTGAAAACGCGATATTCGCGATGACATGCAGTAGTCGTAAAATATATTTTTCATATCACCGGTGAAACTCCATTAACAAAATAGGAACTATATCAGTAGTTCCCTAACTACTATAATAGGAACTTCACTGAAAGCGTCGTAGCAGCCATTTGAATAATATTAGTGATGATGGTCCATCATATGTCAAATCGCAATATGGAGCGTCTCATTAATTCCCACGGAAATTCACTTTCTTATGAAAAAAACATTCTACACAAGTTCCTCACGCGTATGCTCTATAATTACTGTGTCAATCACAAGTAAATAACCACTCCTTAACAACTCTTGTTGAATCTCAACTGGAAGGACTTACCTCATCCATGACCGGTTCGTCCCTACTCTCCCCCCATCGTAAATGCATTAGTCTATATGACGATAACATATACAAAGAATCATCATTCAGGGACAAACCTGAGCTCAACACAACCGCACGAGGCACCTACTGACCACCATACTAGCAATGGGCTCGAAAAACGGCGGGAAATCCATCGAAACAATCTTCAATTTCGCCACGACGGAATCTGTGTCCGTAACAGCTTCATAAACTATATGTATCTATGACACATCAGTGTAGCGTATGGAAGCTCTGAACTTCATTTCACCAGAGTAGCGATAAAAGTAGCAACAACGAGCACCCAAAGTAGCCTATGAAAATGTCGCATCGTATGCTGTACCTAAACATGAGAATATACACACCAAAATGCGAGCAAATGGCGCCATGGAACTTTTGAGAAAATTCTAGGAGATCACTTCTACTCGAATTCATATGTAAACTCCTGAGCTCAGTAGCTGAAGAAAGCGAACATATATTCCATCAACACTGTACCAACGAGCCAACTACACGCTGGGAATCTTTAGAGCACGGAGTTTCAGTGGGCACCAGAATCGCAGTAGCTTGGCTTTTCTAACATAAGGAAAAAACCTCAGCAATAACACCAACAACAGTAGTGGTCCTACCATGCGAGAATAATGCAGTATTTGCTTCTCTTCACCCAACGATGATGATGTTTCTGCTGGTGGAGGACGCACCACTCGCCCCTCTTCCACCTCAGTGATTGAAGCCAGCACTGGTATAGCCTATAGATCATAGATATAAAGAAATTAGGGAGTTTCACCTGTTTTACGCGTAAAACTGTTTTACGCGAAGTGTTTTACGCGAAAAACGCGATATGTTGTATTTAGATAACACTTCGCGTCAAAACGCACGCGTGAAACGCAATATCACGAAAAACTCTAACGCGATAACGCGTCATAACGTGTTTACCGCGTTACGCGAAGTGTTACACGCGTAAAACACAACACAACGCGTGGATCACTTTCCATCACGACTCGTTATGGAAAGTGATCAACGCGATTCACGAGACTTAACTGAGCGTAACGTAGAACGTTTTTAATACGAGCGTGAGGAGTATAGTAGAGCGAGCGTTCTGCTTTTTGAAACGCTTCGGTATTCTGGACACGAGAGCCAGAGGCCATGTGCACAGAGCTGGAAATAAGCCCCACAGGATGGTTTGCGCTTGTGGAATTTTAATTAACTTGCCTCTCATGCGTTATGTCCACGCGTTATGAATGACGGTATGTTTAGCGCCAACGCGTTTTTCGCGTTTTGAGCTCTGAAATCGTCTATTTCGCGTTGCGTTATGCGTTATGCGTTCAACACTAGCGTTTTACACAACACGGG